ACGACGGTTTAATTTAATTTTTTACTTTTTGTACAATGTCATATATATTTCTTTATTTCTTATAACAGAAATCCGGGGATGTAGAAAAGATAGTAGAAAATATAGAGGAAAAGAAAGATGAAAAGGTAAATTCCCATAATGTTTAAATTGTTGTACAAGTTTACATATACAAGCTTAGATACCGTCGTAGTATATGAAATACCACGACGTTTATTATTTACCGTCGTCTAATTAAATATAGACTTCTGTAATTCTTACATACCGTCGTTTATTATTCATTACCACGACGGTTTAATTTAATTTTACTGTTTCATTTTTTTTTTACTTTTTGTACAATGTCTTATATACATTTCTTTATTTCTTATAACAGAAATCTGGGGATGTAGAAAAGATTGAAGAAAAGAAAGATGAAAAGGTAAATTCTCATAACTTTGCCTTTTTCATTTGTTTTTCAATTTTCAGACGTCTATATTTTCTTTCAACCGTCGTTTGTTTTAAATTTCCACGCCATTTTTTATTTAGTTGAATGTTTAAATTGTTGTACAATCTTTCTTATATATATATATCTCTTTATTTATTAAAACAGCAATCCAGTGTTGGAGAAAAGCAAATTGAAAAGGTAAATTCATTAATTATGAATTTTGCATTTGAATTAGACGTCGGTTTTATTTAAACGACGTAATAAAGTATTCATTACGACGGTAGTTTTTTCCCCGTCGTGTAACCTTTTTTAAGACGATGTTTTGTTATTTAAACCGTCGTATTTATTAATTTACCACGTCTTTTTATGTTGCTTTATTTCTTCAAACAGGATACTGTAGTACCAGATTATTCAAAGCTGGAGTTGCCATCTTCTTTACAATCCCTTTGTAGTTATGTGGAATCGACACTAAAGCCTCAGCAGAAGGCTATGACCTTTACTATTGAGAAGGAGGTGTTTGGCATAGATCGTAATACCTTCGTCTTGCATGAAGATATTAGCCAATTTGCTGCCATGGAGGAAATTGGGGCAACTGTAGTTGCAGTATATATGAGGTTTGTCCTTATCAAATATTCATTTGACACTCTCCTTTATGCTGAAAAAAAAAAAACACTCATGGTTTCAATTCATATATTTAGGTGCCTATTTGATCATTTGAAAGCTGCAAATATGATGAATATGGTTGGCTTTATCAACCCTGCTCTAATTAGTGCCGACGCTGGTTCATTAACTGAAAGATCACGTATCGTATTCAGTCGACTTCAAAAAACAGATGGTGAACAGATTTTCCTGATGCCTTACAATCCAGGGTTAGTCTCCAAACAAAAAACAGGATTTTGTTTGTATGATGCTCTGCATATAAAACTATTTAA